CACACACACACCAGGGCTATTCAACTGGCGGCCCACAGGCCACATCCAGCCAGTGGGTGACTTCCATTACATGATTGCAGGGTGTTCCAATTTATTTTTTCACTTAATTTAATATAAAAATCTATTTACTTTTTTTATTTATGATGCAATGCCAAAATTGAACACATTTAAAAATAATAATACTGTGCTGTAGCCTGGCCCTTGCCCTCCTACGTAGTTCCGCTCAATTCTAGTTTCCCTTCACTGCTTCATCTGGGACTTCTCCCATAGAGAAGGATTTCTGTGGTAGAATTTTACCTGAGCCAATCAGCAAACAGAAGGAAGAGTTTTGAACAATGTGGATTTTCTGCAGTGTCTGCTTATGAGTTTAGCATACTGCAGTGGAGGAAGTGAATGAAGCCAGTCTGTGTTGATAAGGCTTCCAAATGAAATTAAATTTGCCTGACAAAGCCTGCAGCATCATTTACAGTCGTCTCATTCGGCTCAGTGCTTCTTTCTATTTGGTAGGGTTGTTTACAGCGCAATTTCCGGTTAATGTCTTAGCCTCCTTCACAGTGGAGCTGGCACACATACAGTATGTCACGGCCAACAGAGCCAATCATATTAAACTTCAACAGAGGCCACGCCTCCAAGAGTCCAGACCCTCTGTAGGAAGCAAAGTGAAGGACAAGGGGCTTGTTTTAACCAGGCTACTTATTCTGCTGTCTTTGAGTAATTGTGGACCACTGATCAATTTAGTTGAAAAGACCTGATATACTGTATACTCTAATTTTAAATTAGGAAAACATAAGAATTAATCACAAACCTCTGAATTTAACACAAATTTGTTACATTAGAAGTAATAAGAATAAGCATTTAGAGACTTGTAGCAAACAATTAAACAGAAGCCATAACAAATGGTTTTACCTGTGGCCAAGTTCGTGAGCAATGGTGATGCCCAGGTCAAAGCCTGTGTCCTCTGTAATCACACAGCTCCAATCACTAGAGCAAACCCCTCCTAGCTGCGTTACTCCTCTGACCTGCCTGTTCCCATCAGGCAGCTCCAGGTCAAACCTGATGGTGGTTATACCATTTCACTTTGTCAGAACATAATCTATGTCGTTAACAATCTATCATGCAGCTTCTTCACCTTGTAATATACAGCAGGAGATCGGCATGCAGCGGATCCGTGTCGTTGGAGGGGTTGATCCTTCGACCCCAGTCACACACACTTCTGAGGGAAGATATGATGTTGGAGGACATTTGGATCTCTGGCTGGAGGAAGTGGCATGGTAAAATGTAAGGCAATAAACAGAAACTGAGCATCTTCTGATGTCACAGCAGTATTTTCTGGGCATATAGTTCAATTCTAAATCACAATCAAGTAACTACACTACCTTCTGCTGTTATGAAAATGCTGTATATATCAAAAATAAATTCAGGGAGGAGCTATGTACAAATAGGCGGTGCTTTGTACCAGCAAGCATTTAGGCAGCTCCACATGTCTACCGCAGGAGATTCAAGGATTTCTCAAACATAAATAAATGAGTCAAAGCAAAATTCTGAGTATGTTTTTGATGAGAGAATGACATCATAACATAATATAAAGCTCAAAAAAGCATATTTTGAATAATACCCACACCCCCTTTAATTAATGTTTTACTGTTCTTAATCATTAATTTGTAACCTCTCACTTCAGGTTCCGACAGGATGACCATGCGAACCAGGTGCACCCTCAGGTTGGCCCCCAGAGACACGTCTCTCAGCAGCTCAGAGGCCTGAGAAAATGTAAGAATATAGATGCGATTGTTACATTTCATTCTGCTGAAAGAGAGTGATTGGGCTAAAGTACTGCAGGACCCTGCAGAGCGAGTGAGAGAACATTTCACTATAAATTCCACAAGATCTAAACAGATTTTTCTCAATAAGCATTTTTTCTAGTCTTTCATTATTTATTGATCACTCCTTCAAGCTGTTTCCATACATAGTTTGCCCTACATCCACTAGTTATTAAATTGCTCATATTAAGATACTTTTTTTTCTGTAAGTTTGTGCCCGTACTTACAATATTGAGATTAGTGAGGATGTATCTGTCTGTGTCCTGCTTGTGGACCTGCTGGACATCAGGTCCCACCACCACCATCAGTTCCAGGTGAGAAATATCAGGGGGCAGAGCGGAGCGACGCAGGCGACTGCTTACTACGGGTAAAATGAACACACAACCATTACTGCTTTAAGACAACTCAACAAGCACTACATAATGGTCTTTTATAAAATGTTCTTATTCCATCATGTCATGTGTTCTCATGATACCACTCACACACACCTGTAGTGTCAGCAGAGGATCCTGAAGAGATCAAATCTACTGGGGTAACGTAGAGATCATCAAGCTTCTGTAGGAACCAAACAGCGTTAGTTTAGTTAAAACCCACCAGCACTGTTTTTTTATTTTTATTTTAAGACTAATTTTAGACAAGTGGGCCAAATCTGAATGACATGAAAACTCCCAGGCTGTTAAAGCGGTTTAAAGTTGAAGGGTTCATTGCACTTTGTCAGAGTCACGAACAGTAAAATCGGCTTCTGCAGGCCTGCAGTTTTCCACCTACCTCATTCTGTGGATCTCCCATTAAAGGACTGAAGCCAGGCAGCAGGAGCAGTAGACACAGTGGAGCGACGAAAACCATATTTTTACTCTTTCCGCGTGTTTACCTGCTCTGCTTTGACACCGGTGTGACCCTCAGATTCACGCAGGACAGAACACGGCCATGAGTGTATGAGTAACATGTCTCTGCAAACAGTAGGGACAAAGTTGATGTGTGTCATCGGTTTTTTTTCCCTTTTTTTCTTTTTTTTCTGAGATCAAGAGGACACATCTCATTAGTTGGCTTGTTTTTTATATTTGCACTGACTAATATGTGTACATTACTGTATGTGTTCATTATTTTGCTTTGCATAAAAAATATAAATTCATATTCCTAATATTTATTATTATTATTATTATTATTATTATTGCTGCCAGATTCGGTCTTCATTGACATACATTTCAAAGTGTTGTTGTCACCAGTAGAGGGCAGACATGAACCTGAACTGAACAAAAAATATGACTATAATTGCAATAGGAGAGAAGCAATGCAGACCTCTCCATAAGAGTGTAAGAGGGGAAAAGAACAGCTCTTTAGCTCATGAAAGGCATTAAAACACTGCTAATTTTCCTAGTAGGATTCATAATGGAAACAATAAAACCAAATTGAAGTTATTACAACTGGCTGTGATTTATCTCTGCTCTGAAATCTGGATTCAAAAAGCTTTTGTGTCAGAGGAAACAAGTGTGGTTGTTGGTGTACATTGGGCCCAACACCTTCATTAAAATCCATCAAAAACAGGAAACAAGGTGTGGAGCATGAGTATAACGCTCACACATGGCTATGAAATGTAAACGCAACAAAATAAGAAAACATTATTTAGTTGTGGGCTAAAAGAGAGGCGGAGGAGATGTATGACATTATTGTTTTCAAAAGGTTGTGTTTTGTACACAAAAACACAAGGATCACACTCAAAGTTTAAATTAGCTCTGGAACTTTAAAAAACATCCTTTTTGATGCTGATAAAATGCCTTTTCCCCATGAAGGCTGAAACAAAGCAAAAAAAGACAAATCACACTGACTTGTTCACTCCTTTTTACTGGTCCTCTCCACCCATTTTCTTTCCTAAAGGATGGATGTTATAATTTATCTCTATGACTCGGGCACTCAGGCCCTATCTGCCATTTGTCTGGCAGATATCTGCTTGTTGTCAGTGTGAATTAACAGCTGGCTGCCATGGGCGTTACACCACCAGCTTAGCTAAAAACCTCACTGCCATGCTGGATTTACAGAGCCCGACAGTCTGCGGTAAGAGCTGTAGCATCTTCATGTACATGTCTGTTCCCTCAGAGGAAGGCTTGTGAAATTGTATATTTATGATGCCTTAAATTAAATATAACACACCATATGGGAAGAGTGTACAGCAAATGACGCCTCAGGAAATTAGTGTTTGGTTGAAGTTTTGGGAAGATCCGAACGATGACACGGAAAGCAGCAGAGCACCATAAGCATTGGTAACATTTCTCTACCTTTGCTTTACTTTTAAAATAATAATAGAAACAATATTAATGGCTTGAAACTTAACTTCACTTTTTTGACCAGACGTTTAGTTAACTCTGGTTTGTCATTATGTGGCTCGACCTCGCAGTGTTTCTTTGTTAGGGACACACTTATCTGGAGTGGCTCTGATTAAAAAGGATTGATGGGCATCTGCTCCGTTTTGTCCTTCTGCCCATCTGTTAGAACATGTCAATTTTGAGAGCTTATTGTTTAAAACAGTTGATTGTTTATTACCATACAAAGACAGGCGTGGTCTGGATGTTAAAAAAAGTTAATTAAAGAAGCTGGCAGAGACCCAAGCAAACCTGCTTAAGAGTGAGCATGTGTGCAATGATGGCTTAATTGGGCTTTTTTATAATATTCTCACAAGTTATCAGATGTCTCTACAACCAGAAAACCGTTGTGACTCAGTAAAGCAGCATTTGCTGTTCAAAGTAAGGTGTGTGATGATGTATAAAACTGCCAGAGTGATGGATCAGATGTCAGATCAAAGTTACAGCCTGGTTCCACAGCATCTGTTTTCAGGACATTTTTATTTCAGTGATTGGTTTGTGTGTAGATATCTCACTCTTCGAGCTGCAGTGTGAGAAAACAGATGAATTTAGGTTGATGGGGTTCCGCCTTCCTATGTTCTCTCTGCAAATTAAGACAAATACAGTGTTGATCCTGTATTGTCAGCCCAGCAATGGCGACTTTCCAGGCTGTAATGTAATACTGAGGGTGTTGAAGCTCAGTGGCACTGCACAGTATACAGATGTTTTCCACACTGTAGCTTTCCTCCAGCTGTTTTCAAACATGTGCCTGTATATCACACTGATGCAGAGATGTTGCCGGGACATTTAATGACGTCCCGCTGCTGATGAGTTAATGATCGCAGTGTGTGTTTTCTAATAAATGGACGATTATGCAGTCATTGCACAGAATGTCTTCTAGAGGAATGGCTCTTATAATGTGCACTCCAATAAAGGAATGACGGCAAGAAAAGGCATCCACCCCGGCTGTGTTTGATGCGTTTAAGCAACGAATTTTCCTCTTGTTTGGATGTAAACGAATATCAGGTTCAAAAAGGACATAGAGGGGAGATTCACGTGCAACACTGACATGTTGCATTTTGGATGTGAGGGTCTCTGGATGCACCATGTTGAAGCTGAGCGTGGGATGACCTAAAACGAGCTTCATGTTCTCCTGAGCCTTTCTATCAGCGACACAGCCGTAAACAAAAAGGAATGTAAATTGTGCCCTCGAGTGATGCCGGTTTTAAGACGCAGAGAGAGCAGCTATATGTGCATTTTCCAGACGAGGAAAACACCTCATCCCCTGCATGCAGTATGTTGAATTCAATGATTGATGGTAAAACAAGTTTAGGTGAGCAATCAGAGTTTTATCTGAAGAAAGCTATTGTTAAAAAGATAGCAAATGTTCCATCCTGTTTTGCCAAGAGCTTTTTTTTGCACATTTTCAGCCCTGTTCCTTCTTTTCCTACAAGACGAGCTGCATCTGCAGCTGACTGCAATAAAGAAACTGCAGGGGGGAGAGAACAGCATACAAAGCTGGTAAAGTCAGACAGCCACACCTTCTGATCCAACACCACCCTCCCTCCCCACCATGAACGGTGATGCTGCAGCAAGTGTTCTGAACAAGTAAAGTGAATGAACGCCAGAAGGACAATTGGGGGGTGAAAAAAAAGGCTATGCGTGCAAAAGTCTGACAACCAAGTCTGGACTCAAACATGAGGAAAGAGCAACAAACGTCTAAATGATACTTGTGGGAAAATGACTCTTTCATGCATCATTTGTGTCGATGAATAAACAATGAGTGCTTGTGAAAATAACAGAGCATTGGTCTGAAGACCGATGCCCTATAAGTTCAAAGACTCTTTGAACTTATAGGGCAGCATTTCTAGAATAACTGCTTCCTTCTCACTGCTTGTTTATCTCAGTGGGTGGTTCATTGCGTATCAGTAAACTTAATGAACAAATCTGAAGACTTACTTCTAAAAATAGTTGTATTTTGTTTTATTTTAAAATGAGATTTTGTAATTAAGGCTGAATTAAGGAAATGCACCCAGGATGATTCAGGATGGATTTTATAATTTAGGTGATTTCAACTTGAGGACCTCAGAGTTTTAGCAGATTGTGTGTAAATGTATTGCTGTGTGTGTTGTTTATGTTTCAAATCTTTAACTTTATTGAGGTCAAAATGGTGCAATGTTGATCTCTGTTGCATAAAATTTGTGCTTATGTCCACTAAACTTGATTATCAATGATAAAGTAACTGCACATCTCAGTAATTATTGAAGCAGCCTATTGGGAAGTGGCTCAGTGGCCCAAACAATAAATTTTCTTCTTCTTACTCTAGGAATTTAAAACATATTTCATAAAGGGACTACAAAAGATGACACAGAAGAGGGTGGTAAGTAAAGGGAAGTAATGTAATAATTAGGTAAAAAATTGGACATAAAAATTTTTGAAATGTCTGACAAATCAGAATCAGGTTTATTAAACTTTGCACAACAAGGAACTTCTGGTGACTTGGTCAAAGACTTGCAATAAAACAACACACAAAAACCAACTATGCTACATATGATTGTTAAAGATATACAAATACAAGTGAAAAATATGCAAAAGCTTAAAATATCCTGAAGTATAAGGCTAAAAAATAAAAATGTGCAAAAGCATAAAACACACAGACATATAGGAATCAAAAGAAAGATCATGCAAATACACAAAGATTTTATAAAACTGTGCATTATTTTTTCTCTTGCAACTAAATGTGAAAACATTTGAAAAATAGAAGAAACATTATAAATACTAACATGGAACAATATTGTCCAAAAAATCATATATTTTTTAAAGAAAGATGCAGAACAGACAAATTCAAAGCAACCATAAAGAGACACAGCAGAACCAAAAATGATAAACACAGTTCCAAAAAATGTGTTATATTACAATCAAAACAAATGATGCAAATATTGCAACTTTGAAAAACTTAAAACAAACCAAACTGCAGGATTTTAGCCTGAATGTGTTCGATGCAATAAAAAAAAAAACTATCTAAAATGTTCCTTTGGGATCTAGAAATGCAGATGCATAGATGTGTATTTACAATCAGATTTGTTGAGTAATTTATCTAGATTGGTTCATAAAAAATTCCAAATTGAAATAGACTTGAAATCTGGTGTATTTCACCTCCCCCCCCCCCCCCCGAAATACAGAAGAATTGTGCAGAAAATAACTAATTATAACTGGCTTTATATAAGTCAATCATGTGACTCAAGCTTCCAAGCATTTTTTTAAAAAAATTCAACTAAATGTTTTGTTTAGGTTGAGTGCATACCTGCATTTCAGAATTGCATGTAAGCATAGAGTATTTGTAAAAGAACTGAAGTAAACTCTTTCAAGCATCATCATCCAGTATAGATCAAAACAGTGACAGAGCAAGAACCTGACTGGATGTTCCAGGTGATTGAAGTCACTTCATGTTGCATTAAAAGATGCACAAATGAGAGGGGGCTCATGCTAATGATAACATTTTGTGCATAAAAAAAGAAAGTGAGACTGAGATGGATAAATAAATACATATGGCTGGGTTATGAAAATTTTGAAGAAAGTAGGCCCATGTTTCTTGTCCCCCTAAGCCAGGGGTCTGCAACCTGCGGCTCTGGGGCCACATGTGGCTCTTTGGTCCCTCTGCAGTGGCTCTTTGACCATGTGACCAAACTGGACCAAACAACAGAATCAAAAAAAATATATTTTTTTTTTTTTTGGGGGGGGGGGTGTTATAACCACATAGAAATCAATTTGTATACAAATATGTGATCAATACTACTATACAAAAAGTAAAACATGTTAGCTCATGCTAGCCTGCTGTTTACATAAATATTCCAATTTCTTTCTACGACCATTCTCTCAAATACATCAGAATTACTTTTAAATAATTTGAAGACTACATTTATAAGAATTAGGGAAAAATCCTGAATAATTTAGCTGTACTAGTTTTTATGAAAATATACAGTATTTTTCTTGTTCATATGAATATGGTCTTTTCATTTGTCCTGATGTGTATAACAATAAATAAAATAATAATAATATTTTTTTTAGCTAATGTCAACTCCACTGACCCTAAAGGTTCCCAAAAAGGCCTCGAAAAGGCCCACGGACCACCACTTGCTAATCACAATTGTAGCCTAGCTGTTTTGCGGCTCCGAACACATTTTATTAGTGAGACAAGGAGCACAAATGGCTCTTTTGATCACAAAGGTTGCAGACCCCAGCCCTAAGCCTTGGCCACCCTTGTGCCACACCTTAGCTCTGCCTCTGGTTCAAAACAACCTTTTCATCTTTTAATTTATAATTTGCAATAAATGCCTTCACTGTTGGTAAACAGGTTCTATTTTGGGACATCTTTGCTCAGTCAGGAGATCCTTTTTCCTCAGTAAGATCAGTAAATGGATAAAAACAGATAATCACGCAAAATAAGGGGCGTAGTCGTGCTGCTCTCCAAGGT